ATAATTCATATTTTGTGTTACGTGTTTTGAACTTTTTATTGTTCATTTTATTTTCCGTACTCATCTTTTTTGGATTGTTGTTCTTGGTGGATGGGAATATCCGTTGTTGCTTTAACTTCCATTCTGCTTGACTAAGGGGTGAGCTAGGGTGAGCTGGACACTTCTCTATTGTTTTATATTTCTCATTGTTTTGTACCGATATATTACTTCTCGTCGTTTTTTTTGCTCGACTATTTTGCTATAACTGCTATTTGTCTCGGTTTTAAATAAGAGAATGTTTTACTTCTCACCATTTTGTCCTTTTTTAAACTAACCAGAAAAGTTGGTCCTTTCAAGGAATGAAAAAAACAAAGGATTGGCCGATTTCCCAATAGACCCTAGAATCGGATCGGACCGACAAATTCGGTTCTAGGGTCGGTTCCAAGGTCTACATGTAGGTTTTTGGTTCAGAAAACTGGAAACTGGTTGTGATGGGTAAGTTCCGAACCAAATTGAATATTGATTCCCTAGACCTACCCCACTTGCTATAAGCTTCAGATTTATATTGGCCTCCATAGCCACGACGCAGTCTGCAGTGGAAGGATTCAAACCCATTCTCTTGGTTTTCTCCACAAACCCCTCAAATCGTTCTTGCGATATTAATAAGCTTCTGTGATCATAATGGACTAACATCGAAATGCTTGATTTGGCCACTATGTTTCTCTCGATATATCGATAAAGTAAAGATTGTCATTCTTGAAATTGTCGCAATTCTTAAATCACGTCTAATGGCTGCAATTGCATTCGTTTTACCATGATAAATTAGTAATTACATGCTTCTTTGTCGTTCAGGTTCCGATAATACGTCTATTAATTAAGTGAAAACAATTGCAACCGGATCAGCCTCCAAATGATCATTAAAATGTTGTTGTCAACTTATAGAGCACATTAGTCCCAATCCACACTCAGCATTGTCATCAAAATCAATGCTTGTTGCTGACTTCTTTCATAGTTCGACTTCTGTGCATCTGTGAAAACTGTTCCCGCAGCAATTTGGTGGAAGCTCTTATGATTCAAGTACTTCATTAGGACGAAAGGAACGAAATGTGTTGCTACAGTGGCCTTTCATTGACAGTAGAGAATTGAAATGCCTGGTTGAAGGCCAATCTAAACCTGCTCTCAAAGTCAGCTGAATTTGTTCTCCTCAAAAATGACCATCACATGGTATTTCTCAAACCATGGAGCGCGAATTGAACCCGCACTCGAACTCGTACTGAGGTGCATGCATGTTTTTAGGACACGATCAAAACCTGGAATGAGATACGTTCAGCATTGCCCCATTACGGCTCCAATCAGAATACAAATGGCCACTAGAGGTATATGGGGACACGGATGCTTCACATGTTTCCCCTTTTTTTCTGATAAATAAGGTGAAGATAAGAGTGAACAGAGAGGGAAGATGAGAGTGAACAGAGGTATAAGTGCGCTTATCAGTGGAAGCCCACTAGAACTCATGCGATGCTTTACTTCCAGTACTCTGGTTCAGGTTTCTGTGCACGTACTAAGACAAAAAACCAATAGAGTCAGTTACTGCTCGATCTTAGTTTCAGAACAATGTACTGTTTTTATATTATGGCAACCAGCCCAGAAAAGAAACAATTGCACCCTTAATCCTCAACTAAGCCATGACTTATAAGCTCTAGAAGCCACTGGAATATCATTAAATGCTCACAAACAAAGTCGAACTATGACTTTCTTTTCATTAGGATGCAGAGAAGTGGCAGCTTGGGACAAGAACAGTCTCTTATTACCTACAATCCACGAACCATGCTCGGGAAAACAGAAAAAAAGGCACCAATGACATCAAATGGCCAAACCGCAGTAATGAGCTTATCATTTATGCAGGAATGCTTATTTTATCCATTTTTGTGCAATGAAAGAGTGCAATGCAGCCAAGTTAATGTTAAGAACTTTGGTATTGGGTAACAAAGATGGGGGATATCGATAACAAGAGTATTTTCAGGATGAAGATGGATATGGATATTGTTCTCCTTTTGCAATCTAGATAACCAGTTCAATCCTTTCGAGATATCTGATTGTTTCGGAAGAAATGATCTTTACTTTATCATGCTGCATTGATGATGCCAGAGAGTTAACCTTTTTTCACAAGAAAGTGAAGAAGAAACAGTACAAGGATGTAAAGGTTATCGAAGACCACTTCCATATCAGACGACGTGCCGTCTTCAAGCTGGAGGAGACGAAATCAAACAAATCTACCGAGTCATTGTATTTATTATGGAGCAGTTCATCCTAGGACTTGAGAAGGTGAACAATATATTCCACTTCTAAAAACTTGGTAATATGCAGGGTAACTTCCTCAATAAACTATATATCTCAAGATAATTGCACTCTTAATCATTCAGTAAGTCAAGTCTTATAAAGAAAGTGGAACTAAAAACCTTCTTTTCATTCGGCTGCTGAGAAGTGCCAGCTTGGGAAAAGAACAGGATCTTGTTTCCCACCTCCCACGAACCATGCTCGGGAAAAAGAAAATTCTACTAAAAGTATTATATGACAAATAAGAAAACTTGTATTAAATGATCAAATCAACATCGATGAGCATATCATATCTGAATTACTAAGCTCATCAACTTTTGTGCGACAAAAGAGCGCATTTCTAGATATTTTCTGTCTTCTTTGAGGGGTAAAAGAGTCGTAAAAGAAACGAAGAAGAAATGGCACGCGAATTCAAAATTCATGAAAGACCATTTCAATATCAGGTGATATGAAACAAATCGCCAAGTCCTCGTAGTTGTTATAGGGTGAGAAGGGGAAATTACATAAAACCTCTGAAGACTTGGTAATCTGCATGAAAACATGCTGACAAACTAAATACTGAGTCAAACATTTTCATCTATAAAGAGAGATGATGTTACCATGCAAGTCCTCACTCCTCCCTCAAGCAATACTAGTCTGTGCGAGGATTGGAACTTGCGATCAAGGCCCCAACTCCTGTTCACAACCACAATGAAGTTTCTTCCCATTAGCTTTCTCATCTTGGCTTTAGCAACTGTCGCTGCTTTAGCTTACGACCCGAGTCCTCTTCAGGACATATGCGTGGCAACCAATGACGTGGAATCTGGAGGTTGGTTCCTCAATTCTTGCATTAGTCATGTATTTCATTTCTGGCTTATGATGCCGAAACTGAAACACCGATTATTTTTCTTATGCAGTATTTGTGAATGGAAAGTTTTGCAAGGACCCGAAACAAACCACAGCTGATGATTTCCTCTTTATGGGGTTCAGAACTCCTGGAAACACATCGAATCCGCTCGGATCAAAAGTCACACAGGCTTTTGTTGACCAATTTCCAGGACTCAACACTCTTGGGATATCCATGGCTCGCATTGACTTCGCTCCCGGCGGCCTAAATCCTCCCCACACTCACCCTCGTGGCACCGAGGTTCTAGTCGTGGTGGAGGGTACGCTACTTGTTGGCTTTGTCACATCCAACCAATTAAACAACACACTCTTCACCAAAGTCCTATACAAGGGGGACGTGTTTGTGTTCCCTATTGGTCTCATTCACTTCCAGTTGAATATCGGAAACACATATGCGCTGGCCTTTTCCGGTCTTAGCGGCCAGAACCCAGGAGTCATTACCATTGCTAATGCTGTCTTCGGAGCGAAGCCACCCATTTCTGCTGATGTTCTCACCAAGGCCTTCCAAGTGGACAAGAAGGTTGTCGACTACCTCCAGGCGCAGTTTTGGTACGACAACAACTAAATGAATCGAATCTATCATAAGTTACACAAAATAATTGAATTATGAGAATTACGAGATTAATCTTATTTCAATAAGCGGTTGCTTTAGACACATAACTAAACTATGTACCACATGTATGTCTTATTTCGAATAAAGATTGTTAACTCTCCCGACTGATTTCTAATAAAAGATTGTTACTTCTCTCTCTCTCTCTCTCTCTCTCTCTCTCTCTCTCTCTCTCTCTCTCTCTCTCTCTCTCTCTCTCTCTCTCTCTCTCTCTCTCTCGACAAGATAACCAGATTCATGCCTCAACTAAATGTCCATAAATGGAAAATCAGTGTGCAATAACATTAAGCTATGTAGAATGCGAATCTTGGAAGGATGTTAGCTAAGATTAAATATTGCTTCCCATATCAAAGGAATTTGTACTCTGAAAAGGGTATCATGTGAAGAATGCCCACCCCTAGTGAATATTCTGATTTGAAATAGTCTTTTGATTGGGTAAGAGACTGTTTAAAGAAATCATCAGGGCGATTTTTTATACATCCGGCCCTCAGGTGGCCAAAAAGAAAATAGAACAGCTTATATTTCCATCATTATCCTGAAAGGAGAAGTTGCACTACAATATGTCAATTTCCTTAGGGTATTCAATTCAAATTTGTTAAATTACAGATGATGACATTTTATAACCACCATACTAAATTCTACAAATAATGATTCTTTTTTCATTCGTATGGTCAGAAGAAAAACCTTTCCTTCGAATTGTCGGGTTAGGTCCAGCTGGATAATTATTTTCAGGAATGTCGTAGCTTACAAATATCATTTATAGATGTGTATGCATGGACATAGTCAAAACCTTGAATAAGATATGGAAGGCATCGATCTCTTTCGTGAAGCAATCAATGTCACAATCTCAAATAGACCATCGATGGACATAACGGATCAATGGACATAACGGGGAAAGGAAGAGACACGAATGCGTTACTTCCTATGCACTTATTTTGACCGTTTCCGAAAGAACTAGAAAGCTAAGTTGCTTCTCAACCTTAGCTTGGAACGATTTAAGACTATATGGCAATTGAACCGAAAACAAGTTGAGACATATCATGGAGATGGACATGAGTCTGATCGAAACAACTTAAGTGGATAAGAAGCCGAACAAATACAATGCAACATCAGATGGACTCGGTTTGAGAGGACTAAATTGAAAAGCCTCAGACGTGGAAACATGCTACGGAAGATAATTCTGAGTAAATACTATTAAATATGACTCACATTGCCAAAATGTTCACAGCGATCCAACGTTCTAACCAAAGAGGACAAAAATATAGAAATTTGGAGATCCAAACAAAATTCTCGTGCTATTTAGGATATGGTCGACATGGGGGTTTCCAGCAAGACATGAAAAAGAAGCATTCACTAATGTAAAGATGGAAGCACAAATAAACTGCCCTAATCAAATAGAGAGAATCCCATGTCGTCGTCACTCTCTTCTTTCTCTTCCTTCTTCTCCTCTGCTGGAGGTGCTTCAGCAGCTGGTGCTGCACCACCTGCAGGGGCTGCAGCAGCTGCACCTCCTCCGATGAAACCACCGCCACCACCGCCTCCAATGATCACCTGAGGCAAGAACAAGTTCGAATCAGTACAGAAAATGATGCATTCAGCACAAGATGAGCTAGCACAAGTCAATATGATTGTTGTGGTCTTCTAACCAACATATACTTAAAAAAGTTCTAGCACATAAGAAATCCCCAGCAAAGGAAAGATAGAAACACAAACGGGTCGCCCATGATGACAAAGCACCCCTGACATACAATGTTCAATACCGCTCATAAACCAATTATTGCATATATGTTTCACAGAGACAAGCCATAGCCCCAATAGACTACATAAGAAGTCCCCAGAAAAGGAAAGATAGAAACACAAACGTGTCGCCCATGATGACAAAGCACCCCCAACATACAACGTTCAATACCGTTCATGAACCAATTATTGCATATATGTTACACAGAGACATCCCATAGCCCCAGTATACATGTAAAACAAATAAAACTCAATAACCCATGTTCTTCAAAAATAACTTTCATGTTGCATCTAATATCTCAAATACATATCGCATTGTTCCGATATCAAGAAACGAAGAGCAAATGCCCAACTAAACACCCCAATGAACTGTCTCCACATCACAATATCAAGAACTACTACCTTAGTATATCACCATTCTCTCAAAAGACTATTCACTCCTCGGAGTAATTTCGACTAAGCAAATCCTTGCAATCTCCTCGTTTCAAACCATACTTCAAACAATTATCTATTGACCCAAATGTACATAAGCTCAAGAAGTTCCTTAACAACAGTTCAGTATGCATATACACACATAAGTAATCACTTTGATGATTACTAACAGAACAGCATCTACGAGCATCTAACGACAGGCAACAAGAAACAGTAAAGATTTGCAAAACCTTCACGAACAATCCGAGAAACAACAACAAGCGAAACAACCCGGTACTTCACTCACTAAAAGAGCATCAAAACATATATAACCCCCCCCCCCCCCCCCCAAAAGAAAAATCGCAAATCTCTACCGAATACCATCTCAACACTTGCACCGTCACTTCAAGTACAGATCGGCTACAAAAACACAGCAGTTTCGACACGAGATATGAACCAATCGAAGGCAAGCGCGCATACAATCCGACAGAGACCTGGAAGACGGCGGAGGAAGGGGTTACGAGCGAGAAAGAGGACTGGACGCCGCCGGAGGAGTCGGAGGCGACGGCGGACTGGACGAGCTTCCGCTGGAGCTCGAAAGGGGAGGCCGCGGAGGCCTCGAGGTCGCCGGAGACCTGCTTCGCCGTCCACTCGCCGCCGGAGCTCCTGCAGACGAAGGTGAAGACGCCCATTGTCTCTTCTTCAAGAAAGAAGCGAACGAGAAGGCGGAGGGAGAGATCGGAGGAGGGAGATCGGAGACGGCCGGTGGCTTTGCGGTTTGTGTGTAGGGGGTGGGTGAAAGAATGGGGGGTTATATCTGGAGAGTGCGGCGAAACCCTAGTTGTAGGGGAATTTACGGTTTTGTCCTCCACTAATTAGAGTATTTCCCAGCTTGGACATGCTAATTTTCTTTTCTTTTCAAAAACTTTTAATTCACGTTTGCTTTGTTTCGCGAAAAATATTACATATTTTATAGTAAGCCGTTTTGACAATATTTTTTGGGGTTTCGCTGAAACTTTAAAATGAACTATAAAATATTTTCTTCCATTTGATATAAAAAAATCTAATTTGATTTTCTTGAAAAATTACTAAAACATTTTGAATTTTGGATTTTTTATTTTCTTTCTTTTTCTTTTTTTATTTTCGTTTTCCTTGGCCAGTGACTGGCCATGACGATAACCAATGACCGACCACAAGCAAGGGATGAGCTCGCCCAAAGCCAATGAGCCTTGAGCTCGCCAATTTCCGGCGTGCCGAGCCTCGCCAGCCTTGAGCGAGGTGGATCCAGCTTGACAAGGCTCGAGCATGACCTCGCTAGATCGACAAGCTAAGCCTCACCAAAGGTCAGCAAGGTCGAGCTCGCTGTGACTCACGAGGCCTCTAGCAAGCTCAACCTTGTCGAAATAAGGCGAGAGCTCATTTCTCACTTGTTGTTGTTCGTTGGCCGGCCACCGGTCGAGGAAGAAGAAAAAAATTAAAGAAAATTTAAATTTTTTATTTTTTTATTTTTTTAAAAAAATATTTTGTGAGAATGAATGTTTCGTTAACTACGTATTCGAACCCAAGCGCCAATGACTCACACTCGGCTTTTGTGAATCAAGGCCTGAGTGCTAAAGAGCAAAGCTCAAGCATCGGGGATCCAAGCACGACATTTATGAACCTGAGCTCAGGTGCCAAGACATCGTGCACGGGCATTAGGCTTTGGGCCCATCCTCCATGGACTCGAGTGTAGGCACCGGGGCATCGGGCCTAGGCATTGGGGTTCTAGGCTCGGCCCCGATGGACCTAGGCCCGAGCCCTAGAAACCTGGTCCTGAACGCCGAGGACTTGGATACTAACTGTCACGCCCCGACCCTCAAGCACGTGACAACCCCTACTCACTTAGGTCATTTGCATATAACGTCCCAAGACTCGTCGCCGACCTTTCATTTTATCTTTCAATTACACAAGCGAAAGCGACAACAATCACCAAGTCATAACAGTAAACAGCAACGATAGTACTAACAATCAACAACAGTCATGCCAAAATGCCATTTTATTTAATTACTAGATTAACCCCAAGGAAACACATTTACAATCCCTTCAAGGGCACCTTTCCTTACAAGCCCACCAAAAAGATACTGGGCTGCGGGTCAATCTACTCCATCCAAAAGTGGGCCATCCCAAAAAGAACCGATCTCAGGCATGTCCTTCAAGGACTACCTACATAGTGATTCGGCGAGTCAAAATAGGGCAAGTCAGGATCATGCTCCGACAATTCGTAATCCAGCGGGTACACAGGACCAGGTTTGGTCTCGGGATTTTCCACTGACCCATCAGGTGGGTCAATGTCCATAGGGTTCTAGACCTCCTGCCTAAGGCTCCCATGTGGAGGACCATCGAAGCCCCTCAGACCACCATACAGGCCCTCGCCCTCATGGATGAACCATGCCTGAAACTTATGAGGGACCCACAAAGCTAGGCCCTCATCCACCCACACAGTAAACAGGTGGCGTTCAAAAAGATGTGGTTTGCCGGGAAAATGATGGGTAGTAATAATACTATCTGTCACGCCCCGATCTCCACGGGCACGCGTCAACCCGCCACGGTCGTTAAGAATGCGACATCCTAGGATTTGTCACCGACCCACACGAACAAACAAAAGAGCAGCACATGCGGAAGCAAATCGAACTCTCCATACAACATACAATTAAACAGGTAGTAAGGAGATAACGGAATCACATCAACAAAACATTTTTACAGACAAAGCGTTACTTACAAAATTCACATCATACAAGCCTTACTAGAGGCCGTCACTACAAACCACGTACATTCAAAAAGGACCGGTGGTTGGTTATCCTAGCTTCTCTACCACAAGAGCTACTCCAAAAGACGGGATCGCTAAATCTACTAATCATCCCCATGGTACCCTAGCAGCATCCTCGGATCTTCCATATCATCATAAGGCTCGGGGTTATGAAATGTTTGTAATTCAACAATGAAAATAAATCTCAATAAACCACTACCTAAGCCTCACTTAGGCTAACGCGTATCGCACGACAGTTCAGAGTATGCAAGATTATCACTCAACGTGCCACAACAATCACAGGCGACCGTACCTCGCCTTGGCATACGCACAAGCCCTGTACGTTAGTGTACAGCCACAACATGGCAACCATTCATCGCACATAACAACCCGAATCGGGTCAAGCACATGCATAGCACACTTAATAATCTGGACATGCCTAATAATAATCTCACATAGCATACTACAATGCATATATCCCAATCACAAGATCCAGATTATTAACGGCCCCTCAGGCTCCCCGAACTCGCGTAAAACACATCGGGCTATAGGGCTTCCGGCGTAACCGGGCATCGTCCCGCTACATCGGCGCGGCATCGTCCCACGTCACATGCATCAAGACGGCATTCAATGAGGAGCATCAATCCGGCCTCCACCGCGATCGACATCTAGTCACCCGCTGGGCATCCGATAAATCGGGCATTGTCTTGCGTAAAACGCATCAAGACGAGTTACAACCCCGTGTAAAACGCCACAGGGTATTATGTGAGCATACGGGCATTCAACACTCAAATCAATTTCTCATCTTTCGATTAGCCAATTGCCATTCAACTCATGGTCAGCTCACAACCAGCCACGCCGTCACGTGCAACAACAACATCAAAAAGCTCTCGAGAGAGAGAAACCAATTTTGCACAGAATCGGGCTAAAATTTGGCAATTGCGCAGTAACCGAAACCCTTTCGAAATAAATAGTAATTCAACCCCAAAAATTATAAATTTTGGATATGTCATTGAAAACATCCTGATAAACATTTTTCATGAGGACACGAAATCCAATTCCAACTGTAAACAGCTCTTTTTGTCACTCAAAGTCAGATCGAAAATTTGCCCACCAGGGCAGACTGCTCGACCTTAGAAATCCCTTTCAATCAGTACCAAAATCTCCTTGGAAAACCTTAAAATCTTTATATGTCCTAGACACAAGTCTCCTTAACAATTTTCATGAAGGAAGTTTGTTGAATAGAGGTCTTGAAAATTTGATAAAAATTCAGAAAGACACGCCAGTCGGGTGAACAGTAAATCCGGCAGAGTGGTGATGGTCCGAAAATAGACTTCCGAATACCCCAAAAAGGTCTCCAAAAATTCCAGATTTAATATATAACATATTTCAATATGTTAGGGTCAACTTTCATGAAGAACACCACGTCAGATTTGGCCCAAAATGATCTCCACAAAAATAGCAAAACACAGACGCATAGCAGTAACGAATCCGAGAATCAACCAACATGAACCATTCAGCAATTCAAGCTCATCTAACCATTAAACCAACTATCCACAGCCATGAATCAACCTCTAACATGTCCATTAGTAACCTCTTAGCCTAGTCAAGGGTTAGGAAGCCATTTACTCAAAGCCTAAGCAAGCAAGACCAAGTAAGAAGGGCAGCACAAGTCACGCCTAGGAGCAGCAGCTCCGGCAGACATACGGATGGCTCAGCAGCGGCGCTGGTCACTAGCGGACCACAGCTCGGACGGGCACGAGGTGGTGGTGGTGGTGAGGGGTGAAGCTGGCCGAGAATGAGGGAGATGAGGGTGAGAATGAGAGAGAATAGCGGTGGTGTGAGGCGAGAGCAGCAACAGCGGTCGACGGCAGCTCCGGCGACCAGGCGGTCGAACGATGACTGAGGGAGGCGACCGAAGCTGCTAGTCAGGCTGGAAGGGAGGAGTGGTCGCTGAATGTGAAGAGAGGAGGGGGGAGCTGGTGTGCCGAATGGGGGAGGGAATGAATGAGAGAGAGAGAGAGAGAGAGAGAGAGAGAGTGAAATGGTGAGTTGAGTGACTTGAGTGGGTCAACTACCCCCACTATGACTCAACCAAGGGCTAGGATTAACTAGTCAATCTCATCAAAGATCCAATGGCTCACATTAAAGCTTCTAGAAGAAAGTCAACAAATATCTAAGGGCAAAAGAGGAAATGAGCAAGAGGAGAGAGGAGTATTATGGTCCAATATTTTCGGCCAGCATGGGGGCAGCAACTTTACCAAAATGCCCTTCCACTTTTCAAATGAACTCGAATAATCCCAGGGGCAAAATGGTCATTTTCCACTCCCGATTTAAATTTCACTTTTCCAACAAATCCGAGTGGTCCTAAGGTTGGCCACGCCAAATGTGACATCTCCCAATGAATTAGTCGTGGCTTTCGAGAAATTCGATTCCCAAGTCCGGATTCCAAGTAATGGTCAAATTCGATTAAATGCAACTTTAGTGTATCTCAAACTAACGGGTGGCCTTTTGGAGTTACGCGTATCGACTCGTGGCCGATTTGATATCAGGTCACATCTAAGTTTACTCGAGCCATGACGACCTCGGTGTTATGTAATTGCGAGGGTCGATCACTAGTTCAAATGGACACGATCGTTCGGATTAGGTTTAGGATCATTCGAAACTCGTACAATGGTCAAGCGGATTCACCCGCGATCCAATTATATAACATTTGCGAATCATTCCATAACCATCCTTGGATCGATCTATAATGGCCCAAAATATCTTCTCGTCAATTCTTATGGTCGAAGTGTCAATCCACGGCCAAGTTATTAGGCTCACGTACTTAATTCCTAGCTAGCCATTTCCTACTAGTTAGTCTTCTCAAGAGTGATCAATTCCGAGTGAGATTTAACTAAAGAGCATCGATGGTATAATCATTTCATAAATCTCGAAAATAGGTCAAATTTCAGAATGTCACAACCTTGCCTCCCTTACAAAAATTTTGTCCTCGAAATTTACAACCAACTA